GTGGATTAACATACGTATTTACTTAATTTTGGTAATCCCATTTAGGTGGGATTACGCTTCCTTACACCTTCCAATAACACAACACAATAAATTTAAACACATAGCAAATACAATAAATAAGAACAATTTTTAAAAAAACAATTAAAAATTTGTGTCATGGATATAAGTTAAAATATAATAAAATACATGCACAATTAAAATTACATTTAAAGTTAAATATTCTCCCCAACTTTCTCCCACAAGCTCCTCGGCAGTGTGTCACCCATCCTCCCCTAAACCCCTAATGAGTAAATAAATGTCTTAACTTGCTTACTAAAGGCAAGCAGGGATGGGACCGTCTTGGACTCTTGGGAGGAAGTTCAAGAGTCCAGGAGCAGCCCAGAAAAAAATATCAGATGAATCCTGGTTGAAGGACAGTTTTTTAACACAAGTAAAATTGTAGTACAGACTCCTCATATCAAAAATTAAATCACTCTCTTTGCAGATGTGTGCTGTTTCAGATTAGTTACTCAGAAGTCTACATTTTCAAGTCATTAATGCATCTACAGATAAGAAAAATACCTTATTTTCTGAATATTTGGAATTGCTAGACCATTTGTTGCTACACAGGCCTCACATGCCCTCTGCTCATTTTCCAGATCAAAACAACCTTAGAACATTTTTAGTTTTTTGCTTTAGTATACTGTTTTGATAGGGCGGTGTTCAGAACTTCAATGTAAAAGAAATTGGGATGAGTGGTGTAGCTCACGGCAGGTTCCAAGGGGAGGCAAAATTGGTCAGTGGATCCACTGACTTTTCTTTTATATTTTCAATAAATCATCCATCTGGACTTCCTTCTAAAATGCTAATATTTTGATTACCATATTTATTCATAAGGTAATTCAGAAAAACAAAATACTAGACCAGTGTGATAGAGTAGCTAATATAAAGATTAAAGCAAAGAAAAATTACACAATAATGAAATGGCAGCTATCCAATTCATTACATTGAAATTAGGCGCATTTGGGCCTTATAGGTTGGTACACTAGAAGGACTCCTTAGTAGAGGAGGTCTACAGGATTGGGCTTTGGGAGAGATCATGTTATCCTTCCAGCCCTCTCCAGTCTAAGCTTATAGAGGGTTCTCAAACTGGGGCCTCTTAGAAGAGTGCATATTTCAGCAGTTTACTCAAGAATTTCATTAACTCAAGAGCAGCTTCAGGCAGAATAATGCCTTTGTTCATAGCATGGACAGTTTTGGATCTGAATTTTAAGTTTCTACATTATTACCTTAAGTATATTTACTCTTCCTGTTGTTCCTTTTGCCAATACAGAACTATTTCTACTGAGAACAATTTTCAGACCACTAAAAGTATACACTTGACCCAACCTCTGAAATGAATCATGAGGTCAAGTATGTGCAAGGAGTATTTTGGGACATGATCCTTGCCAGTGGTCACACATCTTCCAGTAATGTGCTGTAGGTCGGTAGTCAAAGAACACTGAAAACTGTATCTGAAATTACACTCTTGAGTTGGGAAGTTGGTCTGACCCAAGCAGTCCTCTTGTACTCCTTTTATTCTAGGAACTGAACAACTATGTGAGACAACAGCTTATATCCAATATAGGCTATATAAGATATCAAATATAAGGTACAGAATATAATTTCAGCTACAGTCTGAGCATATCTATAAAATGTGTCATTTTGCAATGTCTGTCAAACTCTAACAGATAGAGATTACATAGAGAAAGTACATATTATATGGTTGCCTTTGGGGAAAAATATAAACATTAGTCTAAATGAATAATAATTTGTTTTCCTTAGAGGAGGGCTAGCAGAGAGACTGAACAGACTTCAGAACCGAGAGAGGGCCACCATTAGTTTTTGGCGGCATCAGCGTACTTCTGATGATCAAACACTTTCAGGTAAAAATTGTGATAGCAGTGCAGTCTTTCAGCACTGTGAAAACTTGTTGAAATAGAATATATTTTTTCTTTAAATGAAGATATGTGTTTATGCAAGAAAGATGCAATTAGAGAATCTTTTAAAGTTGTGCTTCTGAAAGATATGGTGTCAAGCTTTGTGGATTCCAGCCAAACTGTGCACCTGCACTTTATTTTATTCATATTCTTGAATACAGGTGCAAACATTTTATCTGTCTTGCAACACTGAAAGATGCAGAATTGCAGTCACAATACAGATATTTTACACTCATAGAATCATAGAATCAAAGAGTTGGAAGAGACCTCATGGGCCATCCAGTCCAACCCCCTGCCAAGAAGCAGGAATATTGCATTCAAACCACCCCTGACAAATGGCCATCCAGCCTCTGCTTAAAAGCTTCCAAAGAAGGAGCCTCCACCACACTCCGGGGCAGAGAGTTCCACTGCTGAACGGCTCTCACAGTCAGGAAGTTCTTCCTCATGTTCAGATGGAATCTCCTTTCTTGTACTTTGAAGCCATTGTTCCGCGTCCTAGTCTCCAAGGAAGCAGAAAACAAGCTTGCTCCCTCCTCCCTGTGGCTTCCTTTCACATATTTATACATGGCTATCATATCTCCTCTCAGCCTTCTCTTCTTCAGGCTAAACATGCCCAGCTCTTTAAGCCGCTCCTCATAGGGCTTGTTCTCCAGACCCTTGATCATTTTAGTCGCCCTCCTCTGGACACATTCCAGCTTGTCAATATCTCTCTTGAATTGTGGTGCCCAGAATTGGACACAATATTCCAGATGTGGTCTAACCAAAGCGGAATAGAGGGGTAGCATTCTCAGAATGCTTCCTTCCAGATTATCCAGAACAATCATTATCATAGTAGCATATAATGGCAATTTATCATGTGTGGGGCAAGCTACTAATTTTCTTATACTGCAAAAAGAAGTGTTGTACCTAGCAGTCTGCTCTCTTCCCCCAAATGCCAGAGAAATAACTAATGATTTGTTCTTGGTTTATTTTTCTGGCTTATCAGTGGAGAGATATGCTGGATCTTTGGATTTAGGTGTCACAAGAAACCAAAAGTGAATTGAAATTCTTCTCACTTGCTTACGTGTTTTCATTTGAAATCTATAGAATTTCAGCTTGCTCTCGGTGTCCAAATGCAATCAGTCATTCTGGTATTAAATGTAGACAACTTTTTATGTTGTTAGGATACTTAATAATATCCAACTGCTGTAAGAAGCATTGCTAGTTGATAGCAGGTTGCCATATTTTGCAAAAATTTACAACTCTCAAGTATTGGTGGAAATGAAATTGATATTGTGAAAATGCACACTGGAGCCAGTAGTTTGATGCTGAAGCAAACAAGGCTAATTAATAATCTGCATTAATAATTTCCAAGATGAAGGAAGTAATAGTCTCACTGTGTCCTGATCAGGTCAGGGATTTTGTCTGCTGCATTCATGTCTATTATTGAAGGTGGGATATAAATATGAAGTAAGTAAATAAACACCATATTGTTCATAATGAAACCCAAGAAAACCCTTGCAAGACCACAGTTTTTAAAGGCAATGTGAGTGGAAAAAAAGCTAATTCTTAAGAAACAAATTGACTTCATTCGTCATTGTTATATTTGCAATATAAATATTTATTAAACATTTGAATTTCTGTTGTTTGTGGATGTAAACAATTTTTGAGTGGTGGATGTAATATTGTTTCCCCATGTTTAATAAAGAGAGATTACTTTTGTTATTGCCAATCTCCTCTGTTTACAGGCACCATAATAGCACTGAGTTCTACAAAACGTGATCTAATGTAATGCTTAGAAGCATGTTTTATAAAATCTATATAAATCTGTTGCTGACAAAAATTTGTTGTCTTCACAAATTGCTTCTTTATTACAATGTTTTTAAAAATGTGAAAACTTGCAGGATTATTTTGGATGTCTGCACATTCTTTGGTTTTCTGCTGTTGCTTAAGGCAAGCGTGCCTCAGAGACCGAGGAGTTCAGAGATCAATGAGATGGGATTGGACCAACTTAACTTCTGAAGTCTTATTAAATCCCCTTAGAAGTTGTTGTGTAGGATCCCACAGACCATAATGTGATTTTTAAAAAACAAGATGAAGAAGAGACACATTGCTTGATTACTATAAATCCCCAGATTGGCTTTATTTGAGATTTTTAGAGAAAGCAAAAATCCAGAATAAGTAACAGGCATGAGACCTTTATATACTACTTTGTAGAATCTAAAGAAGCCTCATAACATTGGAATTAGAAAAAAAATAGAATATGGGAAAGAGGTGTGCCTTTTCCCTCAGGGTTAATGTGTTCTACTATACTTGGGTCAGCTGTAACTGTTGTTGAAAAATGGCTAGGGATCCATCACCTAAGTGCATCCTTAAATATCTAATGGTAGCAGGACTTCTTTATAGAGAAATGAGATCAAGTGACTATTAGGTGAGTTCAAACTTTAAGGTTATTGAGACTCATTGCATTCTGTATACATTCATATGGTGATGATGGATGACAGTGGTAAGTCACTTTCAACCAACTTTGCTAATTACTCTTTTCACATTTGGGTGTAATAAGTGCCATTTATGGCCGTAGGTCAGGGATAGGAATTATCCTTCCAGGACTGTAATTTCCAGCAGCTCTATTCAACATAGAGAATTGCAAAGAACATTGAGAATTGCAGTCCAGCAATAACTGAAGAAGTGCACAATTCCCACCCAGCCCAAAAACTCACAGCAACCCAATTCCCACCCTGTTTGCTTAGTACCTTTGGGAATAAATGGAAGCATCATCTAGTTGGGAAAGCAAGCACACTAAAGATCCTATTTAGACAAGCTATTATCACCACTGTATAGCTTCAGTGGTGTGAAAAAAAATGTTTTTAAGTGCTGCTAACCATACTGAGCCTTTAGGATATAGTACTAAAACAAATAAATGAGTGGTGGCAAGCTGCATCCAGGTGTGGAATAATTACAGAGTGTAGATAAAATCAAATTACGATGACTGACAAAATTGGATATCTCAACTGTGGTGACTGGATGTGGGTGTGTGACGGAGATTTAGATGAGAATTTTAGTGGATTTGGGAAGGAAAAAAAAATCCCACGGTATGAATCCATTTTAGTATTTAGTTTTTGTATGTCGATGTGATAAATGTAATTCCAGATGAATGTGAAGCACAAGTAATGCTCCCCGCACATGGGAGACGCACACCCTTTTTATGCATAATTCATCACTCTGCAGGGGGCTTCTTGAAGACATACTACATGTTAAATGCAAATGTGTGTGCTGGGGCCCTTTTAAAAATAAAAAGCATAAAGTTAGAAAGTGTGTCAAACCCTTTCATAGCTGGCTATTTTCCTGTTCAAAACTATCCTCTTTACTTCATCACTGTGGGGTTAGATCTGTATCATCATAATAAATTATGTCATAAATATATACCAGAATATCCCTGGAGGGAAAAATAAGCTGAATAGGAGGGTATGTATGAAAACAACTACTTGGCAAAAGGATTAAAATTTAATATTATCTTCCCTAATTCACCATTAATTTGCTCAGACTTGTCATTTTATGAGACTGCCTTTCTCTACTCCAAATTTAAAGCTTTGTTTATGTAATTTCATAAAACATATAGTTGACGTTTATATTTGCAAGGCAGGAATAGCTTATGTTCTTGAGTGTATAAGGATTGCCTCGACACTTTGAAACCTGAAGTTAGCATTTTATTTGTTTCAAGGAAATAGAAAATGATGAATTGTATCATACCTGTTCTTCTTGCAGAAATGTTTGCTCTTCCATGCCCACCCATAGCATTGGCATGCAGTGATAAGCCAGCACTCTTTTATCACTTTATTTAATGTGACCAGTCTTTTGTGCTATTTTTCAGTACCTTGGATGTTATGTTCTTGGCACTATATTTAGTGCTTTGCAATTCTAAGGGAACTACAGATGCCAGTATCTTAAACCCATGAAGGAATGGCAAGTAATCAACTTCTTGTTTGTGTCCTCCCATCATCTTTTTCTTTTGAAAAACAATGTAGAGAAATAAACCAGATCTATATCTTTGAGAAACAGAAAACCAGAAAGTAATAGCTTCTTAATTAAAAAAATGTTTGAATATATATGGTCATACAATTCTAGTCAGGATTAAATGCATGATGTCCAGTCCATACATGTCTGTGTTATGTGAGAAGTGCACAGTGTTGCTTAGATAAAAGGGAAAAAATTACTCAAATGTAAGATTTTATGATTGGACCCAAAGTAACACTTTACATGAGTTTGTGCAGTATGTGTATTCTCCCCTTTCTTCACTTTGGCTTGAGTCACTGGTTTTATGTTCAAAAGCCTTCCTTGCCAAATGCCTTCTGGCTCTGTTGGGTACACCTGTGCTCAAGTATGTGGAACCTTCTTCAACAGAAAACAAGAACAATGGTAGAATGATATTACGTAATTGATAATGAGCTTTACAGACTTAACAGGATTATGTTTTTGGAAATAACTCATCCTAAGTATTCACCAAAGAAAGGTTCCCTCAAAGAAACTTTATTATACTTTTGAAAACCTGCGAGGAAGAAAGTTAATAATAATGATGATTGGGGTTAGGTGTTGGCTTTTCCCAGCTCTGTCCTGGGTTTTATTGCAGAGCAGCAGATGAAACATGAGAAGCAGGGAAACAGAAATACAGCAGTCTACTGTTATTCCATCTCTCTCACCCACAACCCTGTCCCACACTCTGCTGAATTTGAATTGTATATATCTGAAAGTGAATAGCCAGGATAACAGAAGGTTTGTGTTGATGAATTAGTCACCTGCTGCTAATCAGTTGTCCTTTCTGAGCTAGTTGAGCAAGTCTTGACAGTGGTGTTGGAGACTCCTGGCTTGGCATAATGAGGGACTTCAACATCAGTTCTTGAACAACTCTATAGGAGATTCAGAAGTTCATATCCTCCATAACAACATTGGGTCCAGCATGGTGTATCTGA